TTAGTGCCCGGCTATAATTAGGGCCCCCGGAAAAAGCCAGGGTTAGATAGTGTCTTGAGAAATTAGGGGGGGGGGGCATCAAAACGCTGACCTGAAGTATAGATGTATACTGCCGACATTGAAAAATGCCTACTTTTCCTTCTGTATCGGGGAGTTGTACTCATTCTTATAGATCTTGATCTGGGCATCCTCATTGTCAGCATAACATATCTAGAAAGACTGGGCAGTGTACAGAATGAGGCCAAGAAACTCATACTTGGCTGCACAAAGACACCTCGTGCCACGCCATGCCGTACGTCCTGGGTTTACCAACGATGGCTACCAGATATGGCCCAGTTGAAGACGTACATGAGAATATCCGCAGACATCGTCCACCCACTGCACAACGCTATCAATTATATTAAAGGGATGCGTCTCAAAAGATGCTCCTTCTGGATGGCCATGGCAGAAAATAAAATCCATCAAAAGTGTGGCCAAGATCAGATCAGTAACGGAAAAGAATGAATGAATATACCAGTAGACATGCACAACTTGCCTAAGGCTGTCATAACACTGGGGAGGTACTGCTGGAGTCAGATACATGTCACCATAGACGCCGAGTTAAAGCCACTGATTGATCAGCATTCACTTCCATTTGTAGTTAACCTACATCATTTGGATCTTCACACCTGAGCACGAAGAAGTAAATGATAATGACAGATCTGACCAGCTGGCAAATGCAAACGGAAAGAAGCAAGGACAGAGCTGAAATCATCAACACTTTACGGACTAGGTTGGAGGTGTTATGCTTGCTGCCATCTTTTTGGTAATGACAGAAAATACTATAAAAACATTTCATAGGAGCAATCATTAGTTCCTTAGAGTGACTGCTGCAACGGAAGACATAGTAGTAAGCATGTTGGTACTTGAAGTGCAAAGACGTCGGCTGTGATAACATGTTTCAAGATGTTGGTTATACGCTCCCAGGCTGTGGGGGAAAACCCGTACAAGTCATCCAGGGGAGCGTCTTGAACCAGGCACTCAAAAGTGGACCTGGAATTTGACGCTTCACGTCTAGGTGTGGGGGTAGTCTGTGTAGCCGAGCCTGTTGCCACACGCTGTTAGGGTCGTGGGATGCTTGCGCAGACCACTTTGTTTTGTATACGACTCCACGGCAGGTGTTTTTAAGGATAAATTGCCACTGGAGATACAGAGATCGTACTTTGTCGCTCTCGGTGTGTGGCTTGCTGTCCTGCACATAGACAGAGGGAGGGGCAGAGAGAGAGAGAGAGAGAGAGAGAGAGAGAGAGAGAGAGATAGAGAGAGATTTTAAACAACCCATTGCTTTCATGTCACTCTTTCACTCTTGTCCACTCTAAAAGCTTAAGTAATAACCTAGGGGGTTTGTGACTGGACCATATTTTGATTAACGTTGATGTTTTATGGTACTACCATTTTCATTTGACTATTTTATTTTAGTAATCACATTGCAAACAGTTATACTTTTCTTTTAACTTTGTACTTGAATTTATTATTTCTGTGTTATGAAAGCTATTGAGCATACAACTAAATGAAAAACAATTACCTCTTTCTACGTTCGCAATTAAAAGAGGCGGTTTACGGCTAGGTCAGGATATCACCGGCTTTTGGTTCATCACACCTATTCTAGCAAATGCGTATTTAGTCGACTTGTATGATACGCTTTTTAAAGAGCTGAATTTTTTTTTAAATATCCCCCCTCCTCCGCCTCGCTCCCCACCCACTTTTTGTTTGTTTACCCAGCCTTTCAATACAAATGGCATTACAGAACCCAAACAGGGAAAATGGAAAATAAATATTTAGAGTTTCTGTAAATATAAATATACACAATGATTGGGATTTGTTCACAGTGGGGAAAAAAGTCTAGTTCAGAATGTCTTAAAAGACAGAGAGTTACAATATTTTGAGATAGACAAGTTGAAATAGTCGATTCAGTTCTACACCTCCACTTTATTCCCTTAAGTCCTAGCACTTCACTGTAGTCGATTAAATACAAGCACTCGACTGTAGTCGATTCATTCCTAGCACTTCACTGTAGTCGATTCAGTCCTAGCACTCGACTGTAGTCGATTCTGTCCTAGTACTTCACTGTAGTCAATTCAATCCAAGCACTTGACTGTAGTCGATTCAGCCCTAGCACTTCACTGAAGTCGATTCAGTCCTAGCACTCGACTGTAGTCGATTCAGTCCTAGCACTTCACTGTAGTCGATTCAATCCAAGCACTCTACTGTAATCAATTTGGTCCTAGCACTTTACTGTAGTAAATTCTGTCCTAGCACTCGACTGTAGTCTATTCAGTCCTAGCACTCGACTGTAGTCGATTCACTCCTAGCACTTCACTGTGGTCGATTCAGTCCTAGCACTTCACTGAAGTCGATTCAGTCATAGCACTCGACAGTAGTCGATTCAGTCCTAGCACTCAACTGTAGTCGATTCATTCCTAGCAGTCGACTGTCTTCTCCTTAATCTCCTAATCGTGTTCTGTCTATGGTGTTGCTTTCGAGACACAAGAAGACCGCACGATGGTAGCCCTAATGTTCTTCGTGCATGGATATTTTGATAGTCAGTGGACTTCCAAAAAGGTAAGTTATGGTACATTACATCTAATCTTTCATGTTGTTGAATTATTGCAACTTTTATTTGTCTTTTGCGATCGTTCTCATTTAGAAGCTGCCTGGTTGCAATTCTTGCTTTCGTCCTTTTTTACTTTAAATGTGCTCCCAGAAGAGGCACGAAAAGACGTGAAGAAAGCTGTCAGTGCATGAAAATATCCATAACAGGCATCTGCAGTGTAATAAACACGTATGCATTGAGAAAGATAGCTTAAGTAGTAGGGACATTGAATTATTGTGAGAACAGCATTCTCTGAGTATGCGAAACAAGATGGAATAGAGTAGGCACACACAAACAAAACTGTTAAACTGCGTTTCTAGACCATTAAGAGGAAAATACCCTTGATGGTAAAGAAGCAGTTATCTTTTAAAGTAATCAAGACGGGCATTGAAAGAGTGAGAGAGATAGAAAAGAAAAGAGAGAGAGGGGGGAGAGAGAGTGAGAGAGACAGAGAGAACACGCTTCATTGGCAATACACCGTCATTACAGTGCTAGACAGGCTTTCTGCCATGAAAATGCAGAACTTAGTCACGTCGCTGGCCTTAATTGGTCAGCTGGTTCCTCTATTCCCATAGGTTATTGTTTCCATGCCTTCCTGTATCTGAGTGGGATACTATCTTCAGGAAATCGTGCAGGCACCAACAAGAAAAAAGAGAAAGCACTGGGAAACCCCGATATCCAGGGGGGGGGGGGGGGGGGATCACAGCCACACCAAGAGCCACAATAAATAAACTGAAATATAAACGAGAGCAATCTATTGGTATGCAACAGCAATTGTTACAAATGAATCAGCTGAGGGGAGTTTTACAGGAAACTTTGAAGTACTAGATGTAATCATATTCAAGGTAATACCAACCTTTGAAATGAGATATGTTAATGTCAAGAGATGTTAGTTGACCTAGGTTAAACAGACCACTGGGTAAACTCATTTCGGTAATGAACATGTAGAATTACTCACAAATTATCGCTGACTGCACCTATGTGTCATCAGTAAAGGTAAAGTAGAAGTTAGTGACCCTGTTTAGGTAAGTGGCACATAGGGAATATGTCTCATTATCCTGTTGTGCCATTTATATATCATATAGGGTAAAAATGAAAGTAAAGGTGCCTTTTTCCACGCCTTTAGGCTTATAGGGCGTATAGGGCTAGACCTCTATTTTTATAGACCAATCGGCACAGGATTAGTGATGTGATCAGCATCGCGCCGGCCGCCTTTACTTCCCGGCACTGTAGCCGGTACCCACTCAAGGCTGGGTCAACCTAGGAGACAAGATGATTTTTGAAAACAGTCCGGCTTCGCCCGTTAGCGAACCCACGACCTTCTGATCCGAACGCGAGCGTCTAGCCGCTGCGCCACAACGACTCCCATGTCACATAGGACTTACAGCCTATTTCTCCATCCCGTCCTGCTCCCTCCATCAGTTCGATATCATTGACTGAATCCAGTCAAGCAGTTTCGGCCTCTCTCATCAACATTCGTTTTAAAGTTTCTTTTGGGCGTATTCGTTTCCCTAATTCGGTTATTTCCCCTTGTCTGTTTGGTGGGTAAGTAAAGGATATTTTTGCTTGCTCGCCCTTATGTTTATTTGGCATATAAGGCTAGAGATATATTTTATGGACCAATCGGCATTCGGTGGTTCATGTGGTAAATATCACGTCGGCCACCTTTCTTTTCAAGCACTTTACCTGGTATACTTTCAAGACTGGGTCTACCTGGGAGCCAATGTCTGTTTTCTAGCATTACTTCTAGTAATTTCGCCTGCTCTCTGGATAGTAAGACAGGACGCTCGTGTGTATTGTTGCTCTCGTTTAAAAAAAACCTTCTGGAAACTGTAAAGAATAGCCTAACGGCTCTGTCCAGGCCAAATTTGGAGTTAAAAATCTACACAAAGTATTTCAGGAGCCTCACCGGTCCTGGGAGTTCGTGCACTGCGCTGAAAGTTTTCGGGCTCAAGTTTCAGTTAGAAGTAGAACGGAGCACTTATTGGTGACTACCCTTACGCCATGACTTTGATCCGTCGTCGTCGTCGTCTTCGTCGTCGTCGTCGTTTTCATCGTCGTCTTCGTCGTAGTCGTCGTCGTCTTCATCGTCATCGTCTTCATCGTCGTCTTCACCGTCGTCTTCGTCGTCGTCTTCGTCGTCGTCTTCGTCGTCGTCGTCGTCGTCTTCGTCGTCGTCGTCTTCATCGTCGTCTTCATCGTCGTCTTCATCGTCGTCTTCATCGTCGTCTTTGTCGTCTTCGTCGTCGTCGTTTAAATCAAGGTCAGTGTTAAAAAAATAAAAACTTAATAATTAGAAGCAGATACGTCACGGCCTGAACCCAAGACTTTCGGATCAACATGGGAGCATCTGGCCGTTACACCACGCCACTGCCACTGGCTCTGCTGACATGCACATAGTTTGTTGTACACAAAACTCCAAACACGGAACAAAGGTATGCCTGCAAACAATGCAAACATAATAAACTGCATCTAAACTCTAATTGGCTTTATCTGTCGTTGATGTGAACCTCTGTAACTTCTATTGGCCTAGAACAGATGCCTAGATCAAGGATAAGACGTCTGGTATGTATTCTCTCTTTGTTAGTTTACACTGAGCTGTCTTTGTTCGCCTGAGAATATGTCAAAGATTTGAATGGTAGACAAAGTTACTGACAACAACAAAATCAAAGAACAAAGGCAGATTTTTTGGGGATGATCACAAAGTGACAAAGAGAAGCGTTGATCTATAGAAATAGATATTGTGCATAGGTGTATATAAATCGACGTACGTACTACGGACGAAATACACGTATCTAGTACGTACGACTTTGTCGTACGTACATACATAAAAAACTACACCAAATAAAAAACAACAAAAAACATACAACAACATACAACAACATAAACAAAACAACAACAACATACAAAACATACAACAAAACAACAACAACAACAAAACAACAACATACTACAACATACAAACTCATACAAAAAACAACTACTACATACAAAATACATACATACTACTACAACATACTCAACAACATACATTTCAACATACAACAACAAAAAAATACATACATACATAAAAACAGAAAAAAAATTCCGGTTAAAATGGACGCTAGACGCGGGGCTAATGGAGCGGAGGAAATTTTTGCTTCTGCCGGACGGTGGCCGAAGTTTTTTGCCCCTTTGTAGATGGGTATAGTTTCGCGCCCCCTTTGAGTTTAATGCATGCGTGACCCGTGAGTGCGGATTGCATTTGGAATGTTTTTTTGGGACCAACGTGGGTGAATTGTAGATTCAGAAAAAGGCGCGATGCCCTGTGCAAGGGCGGGACCCTATAAAAGCGCGCGGGGAACTGCGAAGGGCGACAAGTTTTTGCCCCAAAAAACTC